GAATATATAAATATTTCATGTCACTATGTTTGTTTATTTTACGTTAATTTTTTTAACTGCTTAGCTGTTAGAGGGAAGGAATTGTTAGTAATGCAGCCTACCAGTTCTATTGCTAGCAATGTACCATATCAGGTCGACTTATACTTGATCCTCCTTGGAAACCATCATATTCAATTCCAGGTGTATTCATCACGATAGGCTAACTGACCTGCCTTTTCATCCTCACCTATCACCCCTTACTGGTGCCCCGCCAATGTATACCATTAGCGTAGATGGAGTTACCAGTTCATTATCATTCATTAAAAAAAAACTGCTTAGCCGATTTGAAAAAAGGTCAGATAATTAGACTTTTTTATTAGAATATTAGAGATTATTTTTTATGTAATTTGGAGTGGAAAGTAATAATATTCCACTTTTCAAATTATGCCATAAGATAAAGAAAAAGAGATATGAGATGATAATGGTAATATATGAACATGTACAGCATCATGACCATATTAGAATAACTAGAGTAACGGTGCACTTCGTGTGTTAAAATACCTGAAAATATTTATTTATACCTCTGTATCCTGTAATTTTTCTAAAATTAAAATATTAATAAAATTACGTGTAAATTAAAATATAATAATTATTAATACAATAATTATGCCATGTATTTATCTATGTGGTAATTGGTTATATAGTTTTGTTTAGAAAAATAATAGGTAAGATTATTTCGTCTCAAGTATAATGGCATACTAAATTAAAAGTATAATCTTAAAAAATGCTGTCCAAAAATTACTTTTAAATATGTTTAATACACACTGTTTCTAAATTCAAATTCTTAATTATTTTTATTCAAATATACTTCTGTATAAGTTCTTTTAAATCGTCATCTTTTGATGATGATTCTACTGCTAGGTTCGGAATGTTATTTAATGATATCTACCGAGAAAAACTCGCAAGAAACTCAACAGTTACTTTTTTAAATTTTAGTTTTCTTTTTTGTACAGCTTAGAATGGCAAACAAGCTGACGGCCCACCTGATGGAAAGTGGTAACCGTCGCCTATAGACATGAGCAATAGCATAGACATAACAGAGTATACTGTTTCGCCCATGATACCCGCTATGCGTAGCCATTCCTTAGGACTCAGGTGTTATTCCTCTGTACTCAGTAAATTTACGCTATATCCCACCCTTCAAACCGTAACACAGCTATGCAAACACAACTGCTTCACGGTTGAAACACGAATGGGACAGAGGTACCCAAGGAATCGACTTTTGTACAAAGTCTCTCTCGGATAACAATATTTAACAATAGTTAACAATATTTGTGTTTATTTAAATGTACTATGTCTAAAATAACACGCTTATTTAGCCCGTGTATAATCGACCATGCATAGTTGTTATTAAAGTAATAAATTCTATTCTGTTCTAGATTAAGAAAGAATTGTCAGACTCTTCTTGAGGCCACAGTAAACAATTTATATTAAAATATTTTTTTTATATAATACTTTAATAGTTCAGTAGTTCCACGAAATATTCGCGTGATGTCAAAAAATGTTAAATCATGCAGGAAGTACTAATAAGTGGGTAGAATTATTAAACGGATATTCATGAATATTAATGATTTAATTTCACATAATTTACTTCTAATACGCCTACTGAAATCCGGAAATCCATTTTGCACCTTGTCAACCAACCAACCTTACCATTAATAATACCAAAGTTGGTGATATATACATGAATGTTTGTTTCTCTTTCACACAAAATCTATTGAACGTATTTAAATGAAAACTCAGGTAATTTAAATTTATTTAAATACACATAGGTATATCTCAATTAAATAAATGCTAGACATGGGATACTTAATACACTAATGAACGTGGGAGAAGCCGAAGGAAACAACTAATTCTTATTTGTTTCTTACTTGTTGGTGTTCTAATGGCTCAACCAATTTTGCATACGTATAATATTTAACAAATCTGCCAAGCGTGGCAACTACTAGCAAAACTGCCCCTTATAGGGAAGACTCATGTTCAGCAGTGGACAGTTAACGGCTGAAATGATGATGATAATATTTATCAAAGAAAAGAACATAGCCTTATTTTTGACCTAATATAAGTTTACAAAGTCGTAGTAATTTTATATTTGTAAACAAAGCATGAAGTAGTTATATTTTTACAAAGCATTTAGACTACACAATTTTTGTTAATATTATTATTCAAAGAGATATTATTACTTATGTATTATTAATACATACAATCCAAATAAAGGGTTTAAACACATGACATTGGAGTGGAAAGCGACCACTCTAACCACTACGTAAGTATGACCCAAAATTCCAAACTGATCTTCAAGATGAAATATAATATGCACAGTATAGGAAAATCAAGACGTTAAATTCGGCTCACGACATTACCATATATCAAAGGGCAAAGGTGAAAGCAGTACCAACAAATCGTATGCTGAAGTCCTTCATCAACTCCTGTAACTGGATATTTACTTAGGATTAGCAATTCTGTTAACAAATCCCTCGGATAGCGTACTTGAATTCACCCAAATACGTCAAGATTTACACATCACCCTCGCTTATGTAAAGCCCAAATTGGTGCAAACTATTAAATTGGAAGCTTGGACCCACTATCCGTTGTTTTAATAAGACAGCTCTACTACAGTTACATACGGAATAGTTAATGTTTCTAAGAAGTTCTAATTGGCGAAATTTTCCATGTTTATATTTCAATATAATCTATTTATTTATTGAATTAAAATATATATAGATATATGTTTATCTAAATTATATGTATTGTATATTTTATTTTATTAATTTATAAAATAAAAAGAAGCCTATTAATACTTGGATACTATATATACCTATATTAATAACTGAATAATATAATCTAACCTCTTGAATCTGAATCAAAAAATGTATTGCTAAGCGCTAAACTTAAAAACAGCTAGATAATTGATACAGGCTATATTCTTTTTTTTTTCAAATATTTGTACATACATATATATCCATCACGCCTGTCTTCCATTAGGGTAGGCGAATATTTGTTTAAATACAAAAATAGGGTACCTATGAAAAAAAAATTGCAATAATTACCCGGAAGAACGTGGAAAGCTTAATTTCCTTTGATCCATACGAAGGAAGCTGCAATTCATTCAACATTTTAATCAAAAATTGACGTCAAACACATTTTTATAGAATGACGATTATCGAATCCATTTATATAATAAATTATACAAGAACACTCAATTCAAACAAAGATACTTAACCTCGTCGAGTTGCAGATACTAAATTTAAATCGTGTTCCAAAAATACATTTAAATGATCAATTAAATTCTACCATAATTATTATTTATGAAAGAAACATGCGTAGGTATATAATAAAGAATCAAATATCATTACAATCCGACCAGGAAAATACTATCACGTTTCAAGCAATTGGCTTTTCTGCGATAAAAGGTATCATTTCATTTCCCCAGGTGTACTGTAATGGGTGGGCCCTGAGTTCCGTGGCCAATTCATGTCACGTGCGACAAGCACTTGACAGAAGGTATAAAAGTACATACCCTAATCTCGGACGGTAGACCTGAGGGCCTGGCAGGTGAGATTGTGGTGGTTTTCTGGAATTCAGATATCAGTAAAGGGGAACACATTGAATAAGAATTGACTGCTCCCAATGAATATGTTTAATTTTTATTATGATTAAATTTTAATTTATGATTATAAATTTTAATGTTGATTACGAAATTTATAATTTAGTTTCCGATTGTTCTAACGAAACTTAAATAGAATAAAAAAGTATTTTTCTCTCTAAAATACTTTGTTTAATTATAACCAAAAACTTAGTTTCAATTTAAGTAGTTTCAAAATCTAAATTTAAAATGATGGTAGCAAATTACCAAATTTTCCCTAAATCATTTTGAGTTTATGGATGATAATAAAATAGTAACCACACCCATGCTATTGGTATATGCTTGCGGGGCACTAGTGAGGGACGATTGGTGAGAATAAAAAGGCAGATCAGTTAGCCTATCATGATGAATACACCTGGAATTCAGCGTGATGGTTTCCAGCGGGGACGCGTGGAGGTCGACCTGACAGGGAATATTACTAGTAGTAGGACTGATAGTCCGCATTACTAACAATCCCTTTCCCCCAATTTTTTTATGTTAGCTCCCGCCTGAAATATCAGTAAAAATGATAAGTGGATTTGAAGTCAAATTATTTGGTTGATCATGACGAATAAACGAGTAATAACTACGATGACTTCCAGAGAGGACAGCGTAAAGGTCAACTAAACAGATATTTTGGTAGCAAGTCTCGCTGATTCGATCCCTTACTAACAGTATCTTCCTCTAGTGATAAAAATAAAAAGAAATTTATTTGTATAAACATGTGTGTGCAGTAAGTACATACTGGGTATTTTAATGACGTTATAATTCCAATATGTATTGTCAATATTAGCATGCAAATTTTTTGTTGACGGACTGTAGCTTTACGAAAAATATATTGCAAATTATGTAATGTCAGTAATACTATAATAATAACAATCCAAAAATAAAATAAATAGTATTTGTAAGTGTCAATTTTTTTTATAATTTTTAAACAGAGAATACCTAATATCTGTATAATTATAAATTCAAGTATGTCTTATTAAAATTTATCATTTAAGAATTCATCAATGTTGTTTTGACATTTGTCAATTAGTATTTTTTTAATATTTATTTAATCAAATTTTTGTTTAAACATTTGTATTGTTCTAAAATGTTTATAGTAGATATTTGGTTCTATACACGTAATACTTTATTGTGAAAATACATTACTAAATTAATTGTTACTTATTTATTTACTGTTACCTGCAGTTTACAGATGGTTAAACTCCAACACATACATACAACACACAGACAATTATAATTTTGTACATATCAAATTATTTACAACATTTTACCAATAATTAATATAATAACAATTATATAATATAATATAATATATAAATATAAGACTTACCTATCTTAGCATGAGTACAAGTGAAAGAGATGACACATATAAGCGTCACCACCAGATTAGCGATCTCCATGTTGAGCACACACACTTAAGTCACTCGCATTTTCACTGTATCAATCTTTGCTCATATCTGAAAAGAAAAAACAAACAGTTTTTTACGAAGAAAAATTCAATAAAGTACCAATACTTTTTGAACCGACAACTGATAAAGACGAAAGATTTTTGAGTGGCAACTCTATGTTGGACAAACACAACGCACCTACTAGATGGAGTGACGACCTTAAATGCATTGCAGAGAGTCGAAGGCTGCAGGTGGTCGTTCTTTATGACAGTCTACAGCAGAGGTTTTTGTTCAGCAGTGGACAGATAATGGTTATCATTTCAACCATGACGATGATGATTTTTTTTTTATTATAGCATGATATGTGATCACGCTATCTTGATCGCACACAGAAGAAACATAGCACGCTAGACTTCACATCTAGTACATCGCGAAAGAGAGAAAACCAGTGATTATTATCAGATCAGACGTTAAATGTCCACTAATGAACAAAAACCTTAGTCAAGTTAGAAAACTTAATATAGCCTTTTTGAAGAACCCCATACTGTAGTCTCTATATAAAATAAAAATATAAGAAAGAAATTATTTCTATTACATCTTTTTGAAGTCGATTAAATATATCAGACGAGATCAAATTGAAGTGTTTTTATCATTCGATATAATATCACGCGGAGCGCTGACAGTAGTATGATTGTCGAATATTTATATCACATTCAATATAAAACAATATAAAAGTCAATAATCTCCCTAATATTTCACTACAATAAATGCTATAAAATATTTCCTATAACCAATCTATTCAGGGATTGTAACAGTGATTTTTTCCTTAAACATACACGTGTATATACATATATATAATAAATATATTTCACTACAACTATTATTGGTTTGTTTGAGAAAGGTCATATAAAAACCTCACTTTTACATGTTTCTCTACGTATTTGCAATACTAGTGGGTTTGCCTTTGTCACCGAGCCTTTTATCTTTTTTTTTTTCTTTTTTATACACGCGGCCTTTGTTTGTCACGGTGCGGGCTTGGCAGCGATTTAGCAATTTCCCAACACCAAAATAGAACCGTTATTAAGGATGGTGTTCCATTTCTATAAATTCTAACCTTTAGATTATACGACTCGTGACATGAAAGTGTCGGGGAATCGGATATATGACCTTCAAAGTATAGTTCTGCGGCACATAATATAACAATTTGATTTGTATGTCTGTATATATTAGTGTAAGTATTTTCTGTGTATAATCTTATGTTTTTGTGTATACTTTTACCAAAAGAAGGCTTTGTACAAAATTCGTTTGCTTCGGTGCCTCTGCTCCATTCGTGTTTGTACCGTGAAGCAGTTGTGTCAGCATGGCTATATTTTAATTTAAAGGGTGAAATATGGTAGTAAATTTACAAGGTACAGAGGCATAATACCTTAATCCTTAGGAATGGCAACGCACGGGGGAGGGGTTGCCAGTAGTTGCCAAGCTTGGCAGACGCTGCTGCCCATCCCCCCACCATAAGCTTCCTTAGTCGCTTCTTACGCTACTCACGGGAAAGGAAGTGTGACCTATTCTAAGTATGCTGGGACCTACACAGCATAGAATATACCACCATGAAATACTAAAAATATATGTATATATCAGTAATAAAAATTCAAAAACAGATATCTTAATAATATAATGATATGATATTTACTGATAAAGGACGACTTTACATTTTTAGTTTTTTATTCTTTATTTATTAATAATAATAGTTAATAATAAAATAAAAAAATTCTGACCTTTAATGTAATTCAAGTTCAGAAAATTTATGACCTAAAATTTCTTTAAATAATAAAATGAATATAGTCAACGTATCTTTTCTTTAAAGCTCTTTAATAATTTCTTAATTGTCAGACTGTTAATTACAAATTTAAATACAGTGGGCTGTGTTTTTTGACCTACAATCATCACGGAAATCGTTTCTCTAAAGAAAATACGGTTGTAAAAATAGAACTTACTTTACAAACTCTTTTGATTTAATGCTACTTAATCACGTGTAAATAACCTCTTAATATAGGAGCTAACAACTATATTACACTAACAACTATTAAACTAAATTATTTCATTTCAGTCGTTAACTGTCCACTGCTGAACATAAGCCTTTCCCATAAAGCGAGTTTTATCAGTAATTGGCATGCTTGGCAGGCGGAATGGCGACTGCAGTTAGGCTTTTAGAGAGATGTTTTAAGAGAGACGTTGCTGCCTATCCCTCTACCATTAAGTTTTTTTTTTTATTCCACTTAGACAAACAAACTGGCAAACAAGCTGATGGCCCACTTGATGGAAAATTGTAACCGTCGCCTATAGGCATGAACAGTACCATGGACATAACAGAGTATACTGTTTCGACCATGATACCCCCCATGCGTTGCCATTCCTGAGGACTCAGGTGTTATTTCTCTGTACCCAGTAAATTCACGCTCAGTAAATTCCTTTAATCTCCTCTTACGACACATACAGGAAAGGAAGGATTAGTTTATTCTATGCCGAAACCACATGGTCATGAAACAAGATTATGCACAATAAAAAAATAGCAGCCTGATGCTATTTTTATTTTTCTTTTCTTTATAAAATATAACAACTGCCTTAAACTTGCTATAGAAGTGACTTGAATGTATACTAGAGCAATAACATTTACCCGTGTACCTATAAATTCTGAATTCCCCAAAGTTTTATTGCCTATTTTCAGAGCGAATTGTGTAAGTGTCTGCCACTATAGTATTGATTTAATTGAGAGTATTTATAATGCATCGGTTTGATATCGAGCAAAAACATATCTTTATAGTCTTTAAATAAATATCGAGTAAATGAATAATAAATATTTTAATTATTTTGAATCAACTCTGCTTTTTTATTATTGCCATATTCATTAAAACTTATCCGTAGTGGACAGCTGAATGTAGTTGATTTATATTTGTCACAAAGTACGGTCTCCGACCATCAATCAGACAAGTTCTTACAACATTTGTGAAGCATTATTCCACTTTGTGAGAGGTTGCCCTAAACCATGCTTGCCTGTAAGAGGTTGCCTTTTAAAAGCCTTTGATTTCTACCGCTTATCTGTTGCCCGAACAAAATCATTTTAAAATTCTTCTTACTCAAATTGAATTAAAGATTAAAAGATACATGTTCGATTATGGTGAATAATAGGGGATATTTTCGTGTAAAATAACTACAAAATTCAGCTAAATAGTTAAAGACCAATGACATCTATCATATGAGCCAAACATTAAAAATAATCGTTATTTTACTAAGTCTAAAAGGAATTTGTGTAGTACTTAATTCTACCATCAGACCTCGGACTATAATGCGAGCGTATAGTTCGTTGGACGACAAACGGAAATGACATATCGGCGCTAAACGAATGAGAAAATGTGATACGTCACGGACACTGCATATAAAGTGCCGTGAGATCGTATAGATGTCTCTCACCAGATGTCAGCACAAAGGTTTTAAATGAGCAAAAATCAAAAAAATGTGACGAAAATGAGACAAATATTAATAAGCTAGCAATTTATTTTCCATACTTTTTTAACCTACTTACTGTAGGTTAAAAAAGTATGGAAAATTTAATGTAGTACTTATTTCCATTGGAAACTCTCAGATAATTCATTTGAAATGACACAACAAACAGAAATGGCATCTATATGTTATTTCTGTTTGTTCCCTCTTCTCTTCTTCAGAGATCGTTTAGCGTTTTTAGTACGAGGCGACACTGTGTCGCAAAGTGCTAAATGCCCCTTGAAAAAGACTTCCAGATGAAGTCGAAACAATTGTTGGAAACAACAAAAACACAGTGAGTTCATTAATCTCCCGTATTTATATAAACATTGAATGAAAATGAACATAAGTTTTAAAAATAACGTAACTCTCACATAGTTTGTTTAAAATGACACGATAGACATAAATGGCATATCGGTCCCAAACGAATCAGAAAATGTGACTATCACTCGAAACGTTTGTAAAGTGTCGTGAAAAAATTCAGATGTCTCTCGCAAGATGTCAGCACAAACATTATAACATTTTATTAAAGGCAAAAATAAACAAACCAGAATTTTATTTTACATCCCTTTTTGCTACTGTTAAAAAATTAATAAGAGAAAGTCTGTTAATTTGAGCTAATTTTTTTCATATTTTATATTATAGTAATAACATAATTAAACAATTATTACGTTTGGAAATATTAAATATGAATTATCAAAATTATTAAATATATCTTAATAAACGACTAAATGTGAGATTGGAGCTTTGTTTTAATTTAACCAACTGATTCTGTTATTTGGTCGTTGTTAGGTTGCTATATTGGACTTTGATAAGCTCTAAGATAAAACACAAAAAAAGCTATATTTAAACAAAACATAATAGACAGAACAGTCTCGATATGAATATTTAATACTCTTCACATAGTATAATCATCGCAAATGTTAGGATTTTGGATACAAATTTCGTGATTCCAATTATGGTAACGTGTTATTTCCACTGACAGTTCTCAGACATAGTTTTTTTTTTTTTATATATAAATACACGAAAATGACATATCGTCACTAGACAAGTGAGACAGCGCGAATATCATGGAAACAGTTCACTGTAAATTATTAAATTATTGTGAGAGCATTTAGATGTTTTAGTAAAATATCAAACAAAACAAAGACTCTTTTTGCAGACTTTAAAATAAAGTAAAATATTTGAAATTTAAACATTTATATATACTTATAATAAATCTATAGAGAGGTCAATTCTGTACATGAAATATATTACCAAAATAACTATCAGGGGGTGATTAGTGATCGATACTGATGCCAAAAATGCAATCAGTAAACTTTTTGTTTGTCTATCTGTATGTTCGTTATAAAAACAAAAACTACTCGACGGATTTTAACAAAACTTGGTACAATTATTCTTCATACTCCTGGGCAGGTTATAGTATACTTTTTATCACGCTACGATCAATAGGAGCAGAGTAGTGAAGGGAAATGTTAGGAAAACGGAAGAAGTTACTCCATTTTTAAGCTTCCGTCGCGTGTGCAGCCTTA